AGAGATATGTACGGGAAGCTTTGTACCTCCTAAACAAAAGCTTCATGAATTGTTGCACCTCCAATCGAATCACTTCATGTATTATTATCTCGTGCATCTCGTGCTAATGCACCTCCTAAAAGTACCTCCTGTCAGCAGCTATCTCGAAATGTCGTTTCCATTTCGAAATTAGTGGCTCGAATTTGGAGGTAGTTCGCGATACACGTGTGGTCACGCGAGGAGTCACGCGTGGGAAGAGATTCGCGTCGATCGCAGTCACCTCATTCCTCGCCCCGTACTCGTCGCACATTCGCTGTTACACTATCCTCGTCGTTTGGAACGTGCAGTAATTACTCTCTCGCGAATAGGAGATCCCCGACGCACGCTCACTCGTCCCTTGCCACGCATTGCCCTTTTTCGCCGTCCTTTTGCCGCGCGCATCATCGCGATCGCGCGTGTAATACACCTGAGCCGTGCGTGATGGGTAGTTGGGCGTTATTTTTATTACAGCTTTGAGCGCGACGCTTTATTATCACACACTTTGTTCGTGCATACACACGTATGATGCACCCTCGGGCGCGCGTCGTCGTTGTGGACGCGCGCGATCTCTTCCTCTCTCTTGAAAGAGAGAGCTCGGAATAAGTTGAAATATTTTATACGCGAGCTCGTGGCTTCTTACGCGCGATGTCCACACACTTTCTCGTCCTCGTGCTCCGAAGCCCGTCGTTTCAACGTGCAGTTTCACTTTAGTCCTTACTCGGCGAGCGACGATGCGATTCCTTTACGGTCGAACGAGCAGTTCTCCGCAAACTCGGTTACGTCCGGCGATTCGATACGCCACGCGGATATACACGTGACTGTATGGTCGGACTTTTCCTATCGGCGTAAACGTCGTCAGACGATTTTTCAATTACTAGCCGTTGCCCCCGTGACAGTCGCTTGGCACCTATCGAAGATCCCTCTCTCTCTCTCTTTCTCTCCTTTTCTCTCTGCCCTCTCTATGCCGAGGACTCGGTGCGTTTTAATGCTGGCGCAATTAGAGCGGACACTATAACGCTCGTAAATTGAAAGCTCGAACGTGGAGTGTTCTTTCTCAGATGGGATTTTGTCAACGGCATCTGTCAGTTTCCAAGATCGCGTGAAAGAGGGTGGGAAACGGCTAGAACTCGCGGCTTGCCTGAAAAGCAGTAATGGGGATTTCTTCGTCTCCAGCTTGGCAAGATTTAACATAATCGCGAACTGTCGCTCGAGCTTCATTGCTCGACAGCGCCTCGTGAGATAAGAGGAAGAGGCGGGGGATGTTTTCTGGGCTTTAATAATTTGGAAATCTTGTAATACTTAGAGTATTAAGATATACCCTCTCGCGACGTGCTTATCCGCCACAAAGCGCGCCGCGTCAAAGCGAGTATGTAGTCGTAAAGGTAATTGCGTTTTACAGCTTGTCCTGTTGTACGCGACACAAAAGGACCTATAGACGGGATATTAAAATGTGAGATAAGGGAACAAGGCGAGCTTACATAGTTATTTTTTTTATTATTTTTCCTTCTTTATTTTCGTCGTGCTTCTCGTATAAAATATCGACACTAAACACGGGCTAACCTGCGAGGAGAACCGCGGTGTAAGATTGTGTAGAGCTCTTTGGAAACGAGATTTTTCGTGACTAAAAGGAATCGTTCTCGCGTGAGGATGAATCGCGTTTGCTACACCGAGAGAAGCATCTAAAAAATGAGAAGAAAATATTTATTCGCCGAATAATAACATGTTTGCTTAAATCTGAATTCTTTTATTTAAGCAAAATAAACAAGTTGCGGAAGGCTAAGGTTTTAAGAAAATGCACATTTTCTCACTTCAGACATTTTATATTGGCATAAACACTGTCATTAGTATCCAACGAATAAGTATTCTTTGTTTCTTAAATATTTTTTCTCGCTCAGTGTAGAAATATTGTGCATCGGTATTATATGCGTGTACGTTCAATTTCTCGGTGTGGAGTAAAGCCGATTTTGAATGCTCGACCTGATGGGTGTCATACATTCGTGAGGGAAACATTCCGTTCGTCGGCATTTGTTATCCCTCATGTAGATCATGAATTATGGAACCTTCCATAATTCTAGGTAGACAAAAATTCGTACAGATCGTACGATCTGTAGCGATTCACGATAATTTGTAAAACATGCAACTGTTGTGGATTATCGGCGAGGGTTGAGTGGATTAGGTTTGAGCGACGGAGACAGTTCCGCCGAATATGGTTAGCCGGAAAAAGAAGAAAAAAGAAAATCGATAGCTATGAATTTTGTAGCGACTCGATTTTCCCGTTTCGCGGGCGCGTAATCACATTACAGGATCACCGATATCGCGTGTCCATTAAAACCAACGGACCTTTTTTCAATGAACGTATCGCGACCCACATACCTGTCGCATCACGAAAGAGAGAGTAGGGAGAGAGAGGGAGGGAGAGCACGGCTCGCGGACGCAAGAGAGCACGATGCATCGTCGCTCGCGGCACGCTCTTTCCGCGCGGATCTCCGAATTCAGCCTCATCCAGCCCGTAATATAAAGAGTAGATTGGCGCCGCTAAATCTTTGCGGAAGGCCGTAAAACTTGAGCGCCTCCCGTGTACGTTGTTGAGCACAATGGCGTTCTATGATATACGATGCACATTCCCTCGCGCCCGCGCGTATATACGCGAGCCGTAACGCGTCGTGATAGTGTGTGTACTATACCCCGTTCTCTATTCTCTTTTCCTTTATTCTCTTTCCTCATTCTTTCGCCAGAAACCCCGCGAACGAAGGGGCATGAGGCATCGATAAACACGCGATCGGACGCTCTCCAATTACGCCTTCCCTCTCTCCCCTCTCTCTCCGAATTACTTAGCGCGTGCGACCTCACTTGTAAGCGAGTCTCCAACGGTATCATTGTTATCCCGACGGTGTCGCTGTGCAGAATTTGCGAAGTCGTGCGAAAAGTCGCAGTCTTCGTTGCGCTCTCGCGTTGCACAACTTTTTGCGGCACGGTGGTTTTTACCGTGAGATCACCCGTTACATCACCAAATCGTAGCTTCAGGTAAAAACTGTAAAAACTGATGTGTTAAATTTAACATTTCATGTGTCCCGAGTGATCCACTCTCATGTGTGTGTAAATTCAATACAAAACAAATGTGGTAAAAAGTCACACTCGTAATATGTAAAAAATTTACACAAGAATTTAACACTTGAATACCGTCAGGAATCACAGTTTGTGTTAAATTTATATATGTATAATGTTAAATTAATTAAAATAAAACGTTACTTTAACATTTGAGAGAAGTATTAATCTACGGTTTTGATGACATGAAAATGTTAAATTGACATAATCTATGTTTGACATATTAAATATGTCAATTTAACACAACCTGTGATTCCTAACAGTATTCAAGTGTCAAATTCTTGTGTTAATTTTTTCCATATTATGCGTGTTGCTTTTTAACACTTTTGTTTTGTGTTAAATTTACACATAAATGAGAGTGGATGATTTGGGACACATAAAATGTGTTAAATTTAACACATCAGTTTTTACAGTGATCTCGCAGCGAAATCACCGTACAGTAATGCACTCTACCGGTCATTCGTTTTGGTAAAAATAGGAAAAAAAGAAAAAAATTAATATTTCAAAAGGAATGATCTCTTGTCACTCGAGCTTGTCACGTGACGTGAAGTATTTTATTAGAATCCGAATTTTGAAGGTCCTGTGTTTCAAAAGATTAACGAAATCATCGGCTGCGCGATAAGTCAGTCGGGGGCAGGTGAAGATCCCCCTTCCCTCTCTCCACACCTCCTGGTGCGATATCGTCGGAATACACGCGGTAGATGAACCTTCCGTATGACAATGTCACAATGATTCTGCGATCATATGCCCCATCGGAATCCGGCTTAAAGCGAGCCGAATTAATCCGTGATATCTCGTTGGATTATACGCGGCAAACGATGTCTCTCTCTTCCCCTTCCCTCTCCTCTCTTGACGAACAGACGTTATCATCGACGGCGACAAAGCCGCTCGTAAAGCCCGGCGCGTTAAGCTCCTTCACGGAAACAACGTTTCCGTTTATCGAGCGACGGGACAAATATTTTCGAAACGAAGTTTGCTCATCGTCCGCGGTTTCGTTCGCGGTCGGGAGGAGAACCGATATAGTACCCCCGTTCTCGTTCACCGATTTCTGTAACCCCTCGCGCGCGACATTAGAGCAAATCTTTCGTCTTTCTCCTTTACCTCCCCCTCCCAGCCACCCCGACCACCACCCGCTGCCACGGCCTCCCTCTCTCCCTGCCCCGAACTCTCCCACGCCTGCGCTACGTATGCTCGAACGAATCGAAGATTTTTCCATGAAATTGGTATCGTAGATCAGGCCGAAAGCTCCACTTTGTTTGACCCGGAGGCTCTCTCCAACCTGTTACCCGGCATCCCGGATATATCGACGTTTAAGACGTATCTGCAGGAGGTCGCCTCCGAAAAATTTATCGGGCACTCGCGATAGATTTCACGATTTGTCTCAAAATGCGTCCGTGACGCATCGCAGCGACGCGTCGGTCTTCAATTCGATTTATTTCGCGCCGTGGCTGCCACCGTGCACGCGAGTTCCACCATTGAATGATTTATCGGAGCGGACGCGCGCGCGCGCGCGTAAATCTAGATTTAAGCTAATCCGTTGCTGTTAAAATATTTCTCTTGCCGAGGAGGGAAGAGGGAGGGAGGGAGGGAGGTCGCGTGCATTCTTCATCGACGATGCACTTGTTCACCACGATTTGTCGCGATTGCCATGCGCCGGCTCGCCGAATTTGTTTTAGCATTAAGAATTTACCGACGCGCGCACGTTACACGTACCACGGAAATGCGATGGGACGCGTGATCGTTTTATTGATTCCCCCTTTCGGATGTGAGGGAGTTGTTCCTTAAAAGAGGAAGACTCTCGATTTCGCGTGAAAGATTCAACGGCGGAAAACAATGGCGCTGAACAACAATGGGATACGAGGGGGCATCTTACTCACGTCAACTTTAACACCTTCAACGTGATAGCTGTGCTTCATGGGCTCCCCTCGGGGTATGTATCTGTAGAATTCCTCGTTGTCCTTGTACCATGAGATGGTATACAGACTGTCTGTCTCCAGATCGTACCTGAAACAAGAGATTAAGCGCGGGACGTGTTATTAAATGCATTCCAGCTGTTCGCCAGGCTACCGTAAAGACACCGATCGCACGACGAGCTTCCGCTCTCGCGCGACTGTCCTTCATCATCGCGATATTCTCCATGTATTCTCTCATCGTATTGCATTCTACGTCGTCTTACTTGTTACGGCAAAGCAGAGAGTCGACGCCCTTCTAATTCTTCTATACGCGATCCGACATAATAATCTCAATATTCATAAAACTCATGCGTGATCATTCTGAGGGAACTAAAAGATCACCTTGAAGTAACTTGCGCGAATATGTAGGTAAATCGCGTGCGTAGAAAAATATATACTGCATTTAACTTGTCGCAAATATTTGATAAGTTTATACACCCGTAGAGGGAGTACAGAGAGAGTAAAAAGGTGTTTTCCTTAGTAGTAAAATAGCATTTTTCCGTGTGTGGTCAAGAAATTCGATTGAAACTGGACCTAGTAAATGTCAAGGCTGTTATGCTGGTTCGCGCACGGAAAAAGCAATTCCGTTAGTGTAACTGAATTTTCCGTTGTTTGGTAGAAACAGGGCTCGAATGAAAAACTCGGTTGTAGGAATGGAAAGAGGTTTCTGTAGGAGGTTTCTATTCAGTCAATCCTCAGTTATCGAAAGCGAGTTTTAATACAGCAGAATGTTCCGGCAAATACGTCCGGTTTGCGCGGTAACAGAGATATCATTTCACGTCGTCGAATTTTCATCTGGTCCCTATTCACACAGCCGGAAGTTTCTTCCCGCGTATGCACGCGCAGTATCGACCAATTCCTAAACCACGTCCCGGGTCGTATCTTGACGCGTCGCGAATAATTCCCGCCATCTCAGAAATGGAAATCGACGCTCGTATTCAGAGTTGACTTTGCAAGCGCGGCGTATCGGAAAAGTATATCGGCTCGAGCCGGCATCGCGGCAGTTATCGCGGCGGAACGTCCGCCGACTTCTTCCGCAATTCCGCCTGACGGGCCCGCGAGAAAATGGAACATGGTTTGCGCGCGATATACGCCCCGGTGCACAGTTCATCATCTCGAATCTTCATCGCGAATTGGTGGCGAGATGCTGCCGGCTAATTGTACGGGTTCCTGCATGGTCGGCCGATGCGCCTACTGCCTTTGCTACTGAAAGGATACCACCACTCCCCCGTCCATCCATTCACAAGCCACTTTTACTGTGAACGCAATTTACGTATCCACGGACTAATCGGTTCTGCGGTTCATTCGGCACAATAGACGACTCGTGGAAACGAGCGGATGCTGACGAGCTCGGGAATAAAAGTGAAATGGTGGACGCGCTTCGCTCGCTAGCTAGCTCCGCGCGCCAGCCTCAGATCGTATCCTTAATTGGTCCTCGTTCGATTATTCCTATCGACGAATCGTCGTTATTAATTGGAACGGTCCTCTCGCTTTTAAGAGGCGGCATGGATACAGTTTCTCCCGCCTCTCTCTCTTCCTCTCTTTTCCCCTTTCCTTCCGCTCTCTTTCTCTCTCCTTCTTTCGTTCTCTTTCTCTGCGAGATGATTTCGTTCTTCAACGTGTCACTTATTAATTAGGGTACAGAGTCGCTTGTGTATCGCCGACGGCCGATTAATTTCGAGCGTCTCTGGAGCCACTCGATATCTCTTTATGAAGTCTTAATAGCTCCCCGAAAGCAATTTGCGTCGAGCCTGCACGGTGAGCAACGTGTGAGCGACGAGCGCGTTAATTTCGCGCGATCAAATATTAATCTTAACGTTTGCGTCTCGGCGGCGCGTGTGGTCAAATCATCGACACACCCGGCGGGCCCGGTGGTACATTCACTCCTCTCCGTCCTCCCCCGATGAATTTGCGCTTTCGAGGCTCGCGCAATCACTTCGCGAAATTATTTCACGACGTGCCGTAATTTCGTGCGCGTCCGCGCTGTGCGCTCTCCCGGGGGTGTAGCTGGTTTTCCCGGCAGGTGATTGCAATGCGGCGACCGCGGATTCCGTAAAACGTCAGCGTGTCGCTGACCGTTCGAGAAGTCGCTGGAGGAGTCGTATCACTCGGTGACCGCGATCGAACAGACGCGGCCGGAAGACACCGAGATCGCAAACGCGCGATACCATCCCAACCCCTTTCCTCCCCGAAAGCGCTGGTGTGTTGTTTTAACGTGATTACGCTTAGCAGGAAGAAGAAGATCGAGAGGGAAGAAGGAGGAGAGGAGCGCTCGCGTGACAAGACTCGAACATAGGGCGAGCACTATTACAATAATTGATCGACACCCCCGGCTGAAACTCGCGGCGGCCCGTCGTTTTGCTGATCGAGAATTATTACGCTCGAGATGGCGGGCCCCGAGAGTTTTTGCCGACCGCTTTGAGCGATGGACAAGTCGGGCTGGTCGGACAGCAGCAGTCTCTCCTTTGTTATCTCGCGCGCCGTCTCGCACGCTCGATCGATAATCCAACTTCTCCGGTACACACGACTCGAACCCATAGGATCTCTGCTTAAAAGAGTGCTGGAATTTTGAGCGAATGCGCGTCGGGATTATTAAGTTGGAGGTTAGCGTGGAACGCAAAATGGAGCGTTATCGACAAGTCGATTCTCGCCGAGAGAACGAGGAGAACGCCACCCAAACCACCACTACCATCGCCACTACCACCATCAACCTCGTTCCTCTCGTGTCCCCTCGTTCGGTCCGAATAACAAATTAGTTGCAAACTCGGATCGCCGTCGCGAATTCATCTTCATATATATGATTCTTCATTTGCAATTAAATTCCACCTTTGATATTACGCTCGGGGCGATTGATCCGAGCGAAAGAGGGTCCTTGCTCCGGCGACCACGCATTTGTCGTTTTCGCCATAATCGCCCTTCTGGATAGCTCTCTCCTCCCTACTGTTCCATCTCGTTAAATTGCATTTCAATGGAGTTTCTCGGTCATGCTCCGATGAACCTTTTGAGCGGCTGGCTCGCCAGTTAGGACAAAGGAAATCGCGTCTTCGGTCCTATCATCGTCATGTTCTTACGAGTGACGCGTTCGCAAAAGTAACTGCATGCCGCGCTCTCCTGAGGCGACTCGCCGCGCGTCCCGTCCGCACTCGTTCCCGCGACCGCGGGAAATCCGTGGATCCGTGGAGGCTGTCCGCGGAATTTCGCGGACGGGGAAGAACGTCCAGTTGCAAAAAATGCACTCTCTCCATCAAAACCGCCTCAATTCGGTCCTTTGCGAATCGACTCCGGGGTAAAACTCAAACGTTTCAAACGGGAAGCGCCGAGAGATCTCGCGAGATTCAATAAAAATGGTCTGACAGTAGTGAAAACGTCCAAATTTGACTCGCGATTATGAGATCGGGAATGATCTCTAGGACGTTTCCCCGATATAGAAGACGGTTCTCGTGAGTTGTGCTTTCAAACTGATCTCGAGATTCAGAGCTGCGAATACGATCCACACACATATACCCACGCCGATATATTCGTCCAAAGCGACGTCCTACTTTTGGTTCCCTTCAGCTCGATTTTCCAAAAACTCGCACGAGAGGCACCGCACGAAGGAAAGACGCCGTATGGATGCGGTTCGCGTAAGAGAGAGACGTCATCTCGGTGATTTTCAAGGGACGACGACGACGGTCGTCGCGCGGCCGTTTCAGAAGCGCGAGCTGGAATACACGCCAGCCACGTGGTGGTGGTCCGCACCAAAGATTCCGCGAGTGAGCCGAGCAGCTCGGCGTGTACGGGGCGCTATTCCCCGAAGAGAGGAGATCGCGCAGAGGAGGCGGTGCTCCGGGTCGCGTTGGACACGTCGGATGCGATAATGCACGCTCGGCTGCAATGTCGGTCTCATTGCGCCGTTGCACCGTTGCAGCGACGTACCCTGGGGGGGCATTCGTGGGCTGTGTGTCGGTGTCGGCGGTACTCTACCGCACACCGTGTCCCCCCTTCCCTCCTCCCGGTGCATGCAGCGCAAAGCCTGGAAAAGGGATTGCCGCATTCGAGCGTAGGTGCACAATTTCGAGCGCCGCGTCGTGGGATTGATTTGCATTCTCCGGCTCATTTGCTGGGTCGTGTCCTGCGGGAATTCTTTCCCCTCCCCCCCACCTTTCTCTCTCTCTCCACCTCTCTGTCTCGTTCTGTCTCTCACACATACATACATACATATATACATACATTTACGTAGCCACCCTCGTAGCCGTCGCTGCTCCGCTCTTCCACCCTTCTCGTTTCCCCTCGCTTTCTTCTCGCTCTCTTCATTGCCTCTGCGGTATGTTCCTCCGATCCTTTATACGCCCGTCGATCTCACCGTCCCCTTCCGACACGCGTAATCTCTTCGTATTTTTAGCGGATCATTATTTATGCGGTGCCTTTGTTCTCTCGTCTGAACTCTCCGGGTTTCTCGGGAGATTTCCGGACCTCGAATCGGATCCTTTATCAGAGGTAACCGACGTCTCTCGCTTTAACCCGGAGAGTTGTCGGATCCACACGGGTGAACGATGAGTGGAATGGCGACTCCTTTGCCGCTGAGTAGTAGCGATTTGTCGAGGAGTCGTTAAATGTTTTGTATCTTGCGCCGCGACACAGAACCAACCGCGCGCGGGCGATGCACAGTTCGAACTTAAAAATTGTGCATTTCGCACACGTTCGTTGCTCGATTTTTCGTGCAGCACGCGGAACATTGTGAGCGCGAACATTCGCGTGCTTTAGAATTATATGAATACATTTCCATAATTTATACAGTCGATGCAGCATGCAGTAATTCGCACGATATAAATATTCGCTGTATTGTCTAAAAAGTGACGGTGTCAGCGCGGTACTGCGCGGCGTACCGCTGATCGATTTGTAGCGGCGCGATAAAATTCAGAATCAATATATAATTTGATAAGCGCGAAATATCGAGTCGCGGCCTGAGCGCGCTCGGACTAATAAGATCAGGGAAAATGTCGCAGTGATGAATGAGATTCGCGGGGCAATCGAGGCGAAATTCTACGATCAGACATCGCGAGAATGGAGAGA